TGTTGTTGTTGTTGTTGTTGTTGTTGTTGTTGTTGTTGTTGTTGTTGTTGTTGTTGTTGCTGCTGCTGTTGCTGCTGCTGATGTCGTTGTCGTGGTGGATGTGTAGGAGGTTCATAGAGCGTAGCAAGCAGACCGTGGAGGAGGTTTACTACAAGCGAGCCGTCGATCACGGCAAGGATCAGCTCGTCGTATCCGTACCATTTGATGTCCGCGAGCGTAGTAAGTATACATAAGTAATATTATACATATATAACTATAACATACAATATGCAATATGATATAACATACATAGTATTAGTATAGTATCATATATGCAATATGATATAACATACATAGTATTAGTATAGTATCATATACATTGTGTAATGTAACATACATATAGTAGTATCATATATGCAATATAATATAACATACATATAGTATAGTATCATATAAAAAGTATAATAATTTATTACATACATTGTATAATATAATATATGTAGTATAATATCACATACATTGTATTATATAGTAGAACACACATTGATGTATTATAGTGTAGCCCATTGTATAGTATAACCTTCGTAGAATTATATTCATGCCGGTTTATATAATTGTAACATAGTGCACGCGTTCTTGCCCTTGTTGACCCCCCTCTAACCCCACGTTGACCTATCTCTCTCGCCTCGCGCAGGTTACGACAGCTTCGACAATGACAACGACACGGTGATGACAATCAGCAGTCCTGTCGTCGTGACGACACGAGATGAGGACATGCTGCCCGCTGTCTCCGCCGTCGTCGGCATGCAGATCAAACACAGCTCTGTCGTGTCCGAGTTTTACCGCATCGTCAACAACGTAGGTGGCAGCACGCGCGGTTAATATTGCACGTGGCAGCACGAGCAAGCGGGGTTACTAATATATAGGTGGACCACTTTGAGAATCTGGTGAAAGCTATGTACCCCGCCCCAGAAAAATGTACATAAGCACATAAATACGAAGTTTTGCATACAATGGGGTTCACGGGCCACCTGAAGCCCATCCACAGACCCCAAAGGGGTCCATGGACCACGTACAGGTTAAGAACCTCTGCCGTAAGAGGAAGCACGCGTGTGCGGGTGTTAATAACGTAGATAGGAGCATGCTTGCGTGGGGGGAGGGAGCTAGGGTTACCATAGCTCGGTGCGAAATTAACGCGAGTCCGGAGTCAAATACTCCCTGATTTACTGTCGACTTGATTGATTTGACATATGCAGGAGTCCGTGTGACTCCCTGAAAATTCTGCCATACCAACTAGTTCGTTCCGGAGCACGGCCTCGCGGAATTACTGGATTTTTTCAGCTAATGTCCAAAGAAAATTTGGCAGACGTGCAACCGCATGAATCTTAAAAAATAAGGACATGCGTTATTGTTAATAACTTTCGTTTTGAACATCAGATTGCGGACTCCCTCATTTTGCTGCGGACTCCCTCTTTTTGAGGGCAGGGAGTCCATTGGACTCCCTTGTTCAAAGGTTAATTTCTACCCCTGCCATAGGCTGTTATGTTGTTGAGCTTTAGGCTACAATTTCTCTGCTGATAGCTCCGACACCACACCCACTAGGGAGGGGGGGGGTGTTGCGAACGTAATCTGATAGAAATTTTCTCTCGCGAATCAATTTTTCTCAGCTCGAGCAATATTTCCACTGTGATATCGTTTCTCCCTCGGCCTTTACGCGACCTTTCCCCCATCCACTCTCGCTCTGCTTATCGCTATACTCAGGTGGCTTGCTACTCCGAGGAAAATGCTGTCGGTTATTGAATTTGGTTGACCTTACGACCAACGGAGAGAAGGGTAGTTTTTTTCGATTCTGCGCAAATCGAGCCTTTATTGAAACTGGGAGAGATCGCGACGGAGATTCCCGTTCGAGCCGAATAGAGCATTAAAACGTCCATCACTGCTATCCGTGAAAATCCTCTGTAGCGGTCGATCGACCGCGAAATCGAAGTATGATTCTCTACGGAATCCTGCCGTTTGGACAGGCGCGATTTTGAAACGTGGCCTTTCATCGAATAGATCGTGCCTCTCGGCAAACGGCAAAACTTTATGGAATTCTGCCGTTTAGACTGGCTATGTTATATACCATGCATATATCTCGTGTGTGTGTGTGGGTTCTCTGTAGACACATCATCAGGATGAGAAGTGGACGTGTCGAAACGACGACATGCAATGTTACGTCCTGGATGACAACGCCTTCGTTGTCATATCAGAAGATTTCGATGATGTAAGTCAATTTATATTATTGTTATAGTATTATTATTATTATTATCAGGAGTCTATCAATGATAGACTTCTGTTATTATCGCCATCATCATTATTATAATTGTTTTTATAATCTTACGTTATATTCTATTTCTTTTAATTCATTCATTTATTGTAGTTCAATGACATGAAAAATCTCTCCTGTACATTAATATTTTATCTCATAACGTTGTGAATAATAAATCATTCATAATTTAACAATATTTTGATGCCTATAAGTGGTTTAAAACTTCAACAAGTGTATTCTAAAATAACTAGGTCTCGTTTCTGAACGTGTATCAGAATTACTTTCATCCAATTACAATTTCAATATTAATTAATCCGTGATATATTATAACTTACTAATTAAGAGTATTAGTAATTAAGTGACTAAAAACAAATTATTCCCTACTGCAGACTGGGATGTTTTTTGGTGACATTGAGCCGAGGCTGCTGGATCATCTCGTGAGACTGGGTGTATACATAAAGTGAGTTTAACTTGTCTCCCTCTTGCATCATTTGGTGTGAATTGATGTATACATAATTAAATTAAGCGTGAAGTACGTGTTTGATGACTGTTGCATCAATCGATCGGTCAGACTTGACTATGAACTTTGAATTATAAACAGGCTGGGGATGGCCTAGCTGCCTATAGGTATAGTTATGAAAGACGACAGACCCTGAACTTCAGAAATTTTGAAGCTTTGCGGAATTAAAAAAATCAGACACGATATATACGTTAACAAACCCGATCCGTCGGAATAGCTGTGACTGGTATGTCTTCTATGGACTCACACATATATATTAATTGTCCTTTTCTGCGTTGCTTAACGTGCTTTGTGTGGTCATCGCAGGGTACCTATGTACGACTTTCAAGGAATGTGTCAACGGCAAAACAACACGACAGATTCAGCATCCACGATGCTAACGGTGAGCGATATCACATAAAACAACGTCAGATATATATATATATAACAGGCCCATAGGAAAGGAGAGTGCGATGGGTGTGCCCGCACCCCCCACCCCCCACAGGCTGCGGAGGTCCACTTTTGTGGAAAAAATCCACTTTGAAGTTCAAAGATTTGAGACATGTCCATGTTTTGAGGTTTGCTTATGGCTGCCTGTTTTCATATCATACTGCCTTCAAAACGCGCGAAATGCAGTCTCAGACAACCTAATTTTCATAACCTTCAAACCCCCGGACCCCCCTAGAGACTGGGGCCTCCGACGCTCGTTAGGGACGTATACTCGTTGGCTCGCACCCTCCCGCAATAAAAAAAAATGGCTACGGGCCTGTATAATATCATACGTAGTTTGTGTTAAATCCCCATATATATATATATACATAAATACACACATACATAATGCATAATATACAGATATAGATATATATTGCCTCTTGTTGCCATCGACTTCTTATTAATCTCCACGGCGAATGCTAATGAGTTCTTGCAATACATCCAAGGTTGGCGTTATTATCCATATCGCGTAACACGTTAACAGGGTGCGAAATTATCGGGAGTCCGGAGTCAAATACTCCCTGATTTACTGTCGGACTCCCTGATTTGACATATTATGCAGGAGTCCGTGTGACGTTCAGGGAGTACTCCCTGAAAATTCTGCCATACTAACTAGTTCGTTCCGGAGCACGGCCTCGCGGAATTATTGTATTTTTTCAGCTAATGTCCAAAGAAAATTTGGCAGACATGCAACCGCATGAATCTTAAAAATAAGCACATGCGTTATTCTTAATATCTTTAATGTTGAACCTCAGACTGCGGACTCCCTCATTTTGTTGCGGACTCCCTCTTTTTGAGAGTAGGGAGTCCGTTGGACTCCCTTGTTCAAAAGTTAATTTCTACCCCTGCGTTAATCACAGCTTTACGCTCGAGTAGGGACATTCACAACTGTTAGAGGGCGCCACTAGCTTGAGCGTGCGGTCATTTTTACGTAGAGCTGCACTCGTGCATTTGTTGCTCAGCTTGTGGAGGATTTACCAGAGGCTGAGCGAAGGGGTGGTTGCACGGGTGGAGCTATAGCACGCATACACTGCAGTGTGCATTGATGGATGAATAGTGGCTCCATTACTAGACTGGAGAATATGAATAATATATCATATCATTATCTAGAAATATTATAATCAGCAGTATGTAATATTGAGATATTGAAATATTGATATAATCTTTATGTAAAATAAAAAAGAGATAGTACGATCTCTCCTATTATCTATATTAGTAATAGGGTTTATTAAAGGTGATAAACATATCCATATCTATATAGCTTGTCTACATAATTATAGAGTTTCTCTATGTTTTGCAGCCATGGCGGTCGCTGTCCTATCTACTAACATGGCTGTGGAAAGAAATAGGACTGTAAGTATATATATATATATATATATATATTTCATGAACTACAATATTTACTGAAAGAAAAATAAACAAGTATTGTAAATGTAAAATGAGGAAAAAAAGAAAAATGTATCACTACTATCTACATCATATAACTTTTGGTACATCACATGTTTTCACATTAAACTTTCATAGTGTCAATGGTAAGCTTTGCTTAGCTTGTTTTGTTCATCATTCAGCCAGAGATGTGTTACGTGTACAGATCAGGAGTAGATAATAGGGAACTCCCTAATAATTCCCTATTATGTACTCTTGGTACAGATGTATAAGCTGACATGATTTTATATGTATAATGTCCATTTCATTTCAGATTTCTAGCACAATACAGCATGTACAACCTTTGGTACGGTGACCACGGTCAAACGGCAAAAGGTGAACTCTTTATATTACAAATTTTGTGCCCGAACTATGACATACGATGACAGATCAGGAAATCGTTATATATCCTGCAAGCATTTAAATTCGCGCACGTCAGTATTTTACGTAGAGTGTATTCGCTTTGTGGATCTGAGTTTATGTGTGACAGCTGGTGTAGACTCGGTAAATGAACTCTGTGACTTAATAAAATTTAAATATCATGAATATGTTGTCGCCTGACGCAGAGACGTGAGGTCTCGAAAACTAAAGTTCAAATGTGCGGCATGCACCCCTACTAACGCGCACGGCGACAACCGCGCTGCGCTGCGGCTGCGCTGCGGCTGGGCTGTGCGGCATGCACCCCTACTAACGCGCACGGCGACAACCGCGCTGCGCTACGGCTGCGCTG